TGAAAATTGCCACGATCTTTCGTTGTTTCTACTCGTATCTTCTCTTCTTTCCAAATATCGAATCGCTTTTCGATCGATCCTTCTTCTCTTGAACTATTTCTTGCCATTCCTTCCGATTATACATAGCTTTTTTTCGACTTGTAATTTCGACGAATTAAAATCGGGATATATTATATTATTAGATATTGGAGAGATTTTTATTTGCTCGTTTAATCGAATCGAATTCTTCTCGATTTCTCTCCTCGAGAAGATTGAAAATTGCCACAATCTTTCGTTGTTTCTACTCGTATCTCCTCTTCTTTCGAAACATCGAATCGCAACATCGACACGATTGAAATCGTGACAAGCACGAAGAAGGGCAGTGATTTCGAGTTCCTCCCTCTTTATATTGATTCTTGATCCAGAGAGGTTCACATTGTGAGAGAAGGAAAGGATAGGGCTCGAGGCTGGACGAGAGAATTCCCATCGGTGGAAGAAGGGCATCGGTTCTCCGCGCTGTTGGCCAGCGCAACGTTGCCCTCTCCTTCGTTTGAAAATGAGATTTCGGTGGAGGGCAGATAACAGACAGAAACTGCATACCGAATTAGTAGGATGGAATATATGTACCGGGGAGGAGGCATTACCTATCGTCGAGTCGAGTACAAACAAAGGGGAGAGGCGAGGCAGCGTATATAGCAAAACGATCGTCGCTCGACTTGAAATACGTAGCCATTAACGGCCATAACCATTACCGATTCGACTGAATTGTGAGGTTAGTATGGGGCTAATCTGCTACGTGCTTTACTTACCTGTCAAGAAATTAGCATATTATCTGAATACCGGCTCCCCCTCGCCTCCTTTTCTTCCTTCGATGCCCGGCAACTCGGCTTCTCCTCCTTCTTTCACTTTCCCTCCGCAAGGACCCACCCTTTCCACTCTCCTCCCCCTTCAGCCCGATTCACTCGAAAACAACAACAAGGATTTTTAAACGATTCGATGAAGGGCAAACTTCTTAACACGTTTCACGTTTCACCAACGTTTAATGCGTATAGATCGACGATGTTTCTATAGTTTCGTCCATCAACTCCGCAACTCGACCGATTCAGATCCGATCCCTGCGAAACTTGCGTTCCTCTTTTGCTGCAAAATTTTCGATATTTTAGAAGAAATATTTAATTTCTTTCGAAAATTTACTCATGAAAGATATTTTTGTTCCTCTCTCGAAAGAAGAGGATGAAGAAGAAGGTTAGATTTTTGTTACAAATCCTTCGTTTTCTTTTTTATCGATGAAGAAAGTCGATCGTAAATTAATAATATTCGATAGATCCATCGTTGATCGGCAGATAGAAATAGAGGAATTAGGGCGCGTTCGAATCGATAGATCGGCTTCTTCGTGGTTCTTAAACGTCGGCGTAAAATCCAGGAGAGATCAATAACCCCCGATTCGTCTCGGATCATTTTCTGTTTTTAATTATACGTGGGTTAGCCCAAGGGTTAACCCCATTAAGTTCAAGAGTGGCCCAAGAAGCTACCGGCCACTTTTATTTCCTCCTGTTCCAGCAAAGATCCCATTATGCTCGTTTGCGTTAAACATTTTCGTGCGTGCCGCCATCAACCGGCACAGGAAGCCACCTTCGATTCTCCTTTTGTCTTGTCCATTTTTTTTTTCTTCTTTTTTTATTAAATAACATTTTGTGCGCGCGTTCTCTTTTGAGATCGATGAAGCAATTAGCTTCAAACCTACAAATTGAAACTTTTCTTTAATACACACTAATAATTTTACGAATATCCGTATCTTATCTTTCAACGAATTTTATATAAAGATCCAGAGAAAATGTAATTTGTTGCTCTTTTTTGTACTAGAAGAAGATAATTAAAATTCGAATCGATCAATCTTTTAACATTCTTAAAGTAAATATAGCACGAACCGTTCCATTGAAAAATTTGGAAAATTTTAAATAAAATTTATAAACTTCGTAAATTCTAAAAAATGAAAAAAAAAAAAAAATTCAACGAAACAATCGAACGATACGTGAACGCATTCACAAACGAGAAATAAACACGAAGACGCTTCTTAAAATTGTTTTCAAACGCTCGACAAAAATTTGACGAAAACGCTTAATAACAACAATTTGGAACATTGGCACGATTTTCTCAAATCGATCGGATGGCAAGAAGCTGGCGCCAACGGGACATTTCGGTTCGCGCCGATAATTCCCTTGTTTACGTTTCTTACCAACAGCTTCATAGAAGCTTGTTCCTGCGCCACCCAGTCTCGGTCGAAATGGCCGGGTCAGAGAGAACAAGTTACGCGAAACCGGGTAAATAAGAGATAATCGGTAAACGAGGAGGCGGCGGTCAGTTTTACGATAAGCCGGGAATTAATGCGAGCAACAGGCCATAAGAAAGTCTCGTTTCTTGCACGTTGGGCTTCGCCCCCTTGTTTACCTTTTCCGCTGTCGACGACCCGATTCGAGATTCGACGGCCGGCAACCGATCTCGCGCCTTTCGTGGAAACAGTTGTGGAAACTGTTCCTCTCTTCCTCCCCCCGATAATCGTCCAGTTTTTTCGCCGCGTATAATCCATTTCTTGCCTCGCAACTTTTAACAATCTTCAAATTGTTGGCCGAAGAAAACCGATTTCCGGATAAAGAGGAGAATTCATTCGCCGGTTTTTCATCGAGTACTAGAGGCCCGCCGCCGAACCCGTTGCGCTCTTCCTCCTGCCTTTCGCACGCCTCTCTCTCTCTTTC